GACCAATCGGTTGAAAGTCTTTCCTCATTGTAGGATCCCACGCCACGTCAATTCCCTTAAAACACGCGACACTTAAAAGGTCTTGTACTCCCATTCCCCACCCCTTTCACACTCTGTCACACCTTCAACTTTCCCCATTACAATCATTTATTTTTCCATGTGAAAACACTACCATGTCTTGGCACTGATTATCACTATGCACCCAGATGCCACGTAGACCAGACAGACGACCTGTATCAACCAGCAAGATCGAAGCGTTTGCATATGTGTGACGGCCTGGCTTGCTTATCTGAATCCCATGTCACAAAGTCGTGGCACAAGTGCTCTATCAAATATTAATGACTAGTTGTACCAAATCGTTCAGAAAACGGGCTGGATGAGTGCGAAGCGACAAAGTGGGCTGATTTCTTCAGGGAGGAATCCAAGTTGTGCCTAGACTGGGTAAAGTTGTCTCAACCAGGAGCCCTTTTTAATAAATGGGGCATCTTGAGGCCAGCAAGTAGGCCTATGCGCGTAGATGTTCATTCTTACATGGATCTGAATAAGATGACCTTTAACCCGACCCTACGATTTGGGATAGGTTAAAATCCCATTATTTTGGAGACCAATAGGGGTTTGAGTGTTGCTTATACTTGAAAAGGTCAGTGACCCATTAGCATCAAGTTGGTATGTTTAAAACTTGTGGTCATTGAAGAGCCGCTTTGAAAATAACTAAACTTAAACAAGCAGAATTCTGGCTCTTAGCCCTTCCACATTCTATCGAATGCCATTCTCAACGCCTACCATTGGTCAATCTGTGTCAAACACCACAACCTACTCGACAGGGATGAAGTACATAGGCAGATTTTCACTAGATCCGAAGGCACATTCGATCCCGGCGGCAATAATGAATCACATCGGTTCCGTGGCGCTGCTGACCGCGGAATGAATTTCATGCATTTGATGCCCAAGGGTAGACCAATCTGCCAAAAGCACGTCTCCCGCTCCTTCCTCCTCACCACCACCGATCATCTTTGCTTCACTCATCTGCTAGAAGTATCACACCAGCACCTTTCATCCTAGACCTTTGTGTAGAACATGGGATTGATGCAGTTGAAAGTCTCCGAAGTCCTGCTCTTTTGTTGCGCATCTTCGTATATTCCATCAACCACAGAATAGCACTTTCCTTCCGTTTGACCTTTAGGTGCATCACCATCATCTCCCAGAGGTGATGAATTTAAGCTCCCCCGAAGGAATAAACAGGGCGTGTACAGAAGGGAACGAACGTTTAGTCTACCATGACACCGAGATGGTGTCCAAAGCATAGGAGAACGAAAGATTCCATCGTCTCAGTATTTATGAGTTTCCAAATCCATCAGAAATGCCAAAACTAACTATAAAGTCAAAGCAAAAAAAGCGAGTGTAATTTTCACCTGAGGCAATGAAACAGGCCTGTCAACGTCACCTGCCTCCAATTTTAACTGCTTTGACATGTACGAGAACTTTTTCACATGAGGTGGAGTGATTTACAGTGCCCTTGTTTTTCTTTTTTAGGGGCTAACGGAAAGGTGCGTAAACAGTTATGGGGACATTTTAGACGCTCTGGAACAGGGGCAAATGAATAAACACACATCACCGACAAGTAAGTAGGTTTACCCTTCGCCTATTTTTCATTTTCATATTCTTTATTTCTCGCAAAAAATGTTCGTTTGATGGTTGTTTAAACTTACCTCGTTAAAAATCGTGCACTTAAGTTATCGACTAGGGAAATCAAAATTGATCAGCGTCAAATATTTCTCGCGTCACATATGTGTGACACTAAATTATGGGCAGCAGTAACATGACCTCGGTATTGTGAACTAGCTTTTCTAAGAGAGGAGAGGGGGCAGGGAGAAGGTTGCATGGCCACGAAAGCATTTCATTATCCCATTCTCAGCAGTAGAGACTGGACGAAGAATTGTGGTATCACGGTCGATCCAGGAGATGGTGATGACTACCGTCCTTACTGTTTGACTGTGGCTTTTAGATTATGTAGAAAAAAATATCACTCCTCCTTTTTTTCTAACATCTGATCATTACAGCTTCTTTGTCTTTGAGAGAGAGGAGGGTCCACGTCTATCTTTGGGGAGGGGGAGGGCAAGTGGCAACTCCAGGCCTCAGAGGCTATATTTTTTTTACCAAAACCACCCATTATAGATTTTGTGATACATTTTAGGCCGCTCTTTTTTCCTGATTAAGACAACGTGATAACCCGAGTTCCTTTTTAATCATCCATAGCCTCCTGAATGAGTCACCCCAATTTGAAAGTCATGCTAGTATCAGAGATTGAGTGTACCAAAAGGGGAGCCGAGGTGGGTTTCGAGGCCATCTAGAGACACGTATTAACCCCAGCTCGTCAGTCAACGTGTGTACACCTATGCAGTAATTATGGCTAGCTTGAATGGTGGGTCCCAACGTAGGCTACAAGACAACAAAGGGGAGTGGGAAGAATCTTATATGTGGACTTGTTTCGGCGGATCTGTTCTTTGAGAAAAATGAGAACATGCGTAATGTAGAAGCAGTAACATTTTAGAAGAAAGAACAAAACATTAGCTGTTGGGTCACTAATTAAATTTGCATGGCTCAGGTAGGCAAATCAAGACGTCACATATGTGTGACGAGAAAGGGGAGACAAAAGTACTACACAGATAAAAGGAACTGTTTCACTGATAATGCAATGTCATCATCACCTGATCCTTAAGAGGTAGAAGCCTTGTGGATGATGACGAAAGACGACTTCCGTAAGTGCGACAACTACCCCATTATTTTCGACGCATTTGACAACATGAAGGCAGCCGATCAAATTTGTGAGCTGCTCTTCAAAGAGCCAACTCCACGTTGCGCTTCAAAAGCAATTCGTTTAAGGAGAATTGAAAATGCCCTCCCAGATGTGTTCACGCTCCTGTCGCACTGTCTGTTAACCCTTGTCTATTCCACTTGGCACATGAGTGTCTAGTGACAATCGGTGCCAAGACATGGTGATGCTTGTCACATGGAAAAACAGTGGAAGAACTGGGTAAGGGCGAAGCTGGGATCGAGACGATGCAGTTGGTGAGAATTAAAAGTGTGGGCCCAGGGAGTTGATGGACAGTATCTCCGCTCATTCCTAATGGAAAAAAGTCCGGTGTCGGGTAAATTTAGGGGTATAACGTGTTGTGGAATTCTGCAATAAAAGGGACTTTCAACCGATTGGCCAGTGGTGGCTGTACCTCAAGAAGACGAACGCAATCGGAGGAGGAAGAAGGAGGAAGAGTATATCAGTAAGTCAACGAATGCGTCTACAGTCCACCCCACACGAAACAGACGTGAACCTCTTTGCTGCTGAAGTGGTGAATGTCTTCGAAGTGTGGATTGGAAGGTGGCTTGTTTGGCAGTGGACATGGATGTGATGGTTCTTTGATCAAACGTCTAATTACGACAGCCACCTCTCATTGCATCTCGTTCCATCTCATTTCTTCTCATCTGAAATCAGTCAGTCATTTGGTCATTCGAGCAGCAGACAGTGTCAAGTGCACAGTGTGATGTCATGACGTAGGTGGAGGAGGTGAAGACTGACAACTTAACACTCTTCAAAGCTTGTCGGCATTTGCCTCTGCCTACTCTCGCCCCCACCCTCGTCCCATCACGACTTCTTCATCTTCTCGTTGATGCAGTCGAAAAGGAAATGTGTCATCACACTCAAACATCAAACAATCAGCAACGTTGACGCCTTCTTGACGTGTCACCAGTGGCACGCCCTAAGGACGCCTACCTGCTTCCCCACATCACCATGTTGTGGCAAAAAATGTGGCCCCGAGTGCAGTGTAGAAGGCTCCATCACCCATGCCATGCAACGAAGAAGATAAGGGCACTGTCGCATTTTGCCGCGAGTTCGTCACACATTTCACATGGACAGGGAGGAGAAGCAGACATTCCGTGTTGGTCAAGAACGAAGGTCATGTGCTGCATTGCGTTGTGTCCACCGTTCCTCCAAATGGATTTGCGATTGCAAAGAATGCTTTGGACTTGTCATGTCATTCCTGAACATGCCACATCACTCGAACCAAATATGCAATGCCATCGTCATCTGTGAGGGTGGAATCCACTACCGCATCCTCTCCACCACCCTCGATTGGTTTGGAACCGACTTAACCCCTGCTTGTCTGGTCGACAAGGTGGAATCGCCTCCATCAGGATGGACATTCGAGGGTGCATTGTGGAGAGGTGAATGAAGAGCACCATGTTGACAGACTGGTGGAGTGGAGTGGAGTGGAGGGGTCAGCAATTTGGCTCTTTCATCACCTCATCAGATGCCACCATTGGCACTGTCGCTGCCAATGTGTCACATGTGCGTGATGTGTTGATTTGCCTAACTGATTCCCACGTCGCGAAGGTGTGACAAGCATTCTTTGTCAAATTGTAATGACAGGGTGTAACACGGCATTCTAAATGCGCATTAATTGAGTGCGAAACAACGACAAGGTGGGTGTACAACATCCGATTCCTCCTTAGTGGTGGAGTGCCCTCTCTGAGAGCCTTTGGTCACAATCCTTTCGACATCCGCTTTAGTTTGTCTGGCCACTGGATGAGATTGTGATATATGACGCAGTGTGGGTAGTCCTTTCAATTTGGGTTTGACAAGTTGACAAGTGGTTCATCATGATCACATTGAGTGGGGATGTGTGCACACAAATGCTAGCATTCACATGCATTTT